TATAAATAATATATAATAATATATTACAGAAATATTATTTATATTATAATACAAATACTGCATTATATTGTCATGTAATATAATATAATACAATATAATGTAATGTAATATAATGTAAATATTATTTTTATCATTATATATATCTTTATTATAAATGCAGTTATTTTAGCACAGCCGGTAAACGCCTTTCATATAAATGAATACATTCAATAAATTTAATAAATAAAATTAATAAAAAAAATTATTGCTTATTTCTTATTTACTCATTTATTTATCGCTCGCTAACACAGCGAGAAGCACCAAAAAGAGGAGAAAAAGGGAAATTTCGGGGCTTAGGAGATGTTTCACTAAAAAGAGATTAAAAGAAATGAACAAATCAATAAAATTTGGATTGGTTTTTGTCAATAAGAAATTCTTCCCTGACCGGGAATCGAACCCGGGCCGCGGCGGTGAGAGCGCCGAATCCTAACCACTAGACCACCAGGGAGCCCAATGCTAACCAATACCCCCCAAAATACCACCCAAATTCACATTTTTGGGTTAAATTCTTTAAAAAACTCCCATTTTACCCCCAAAATTTTAATTGTTCCCCCAAACGTTCCCTTTTCCCCCCAAAAAATGCCTTTTTTACCCTCCAAAATACTCATTTTAACGCCCAAAAATTCACTTTTTACCCCCCAGAAATTCACTTTGTACACTCAAAAAATTCCCTTTGTACACCCAAAAAATTCCCTTTTTACCCCCAAAAATTCAATTTTTACCCGCAAGAAATTTCCTTTTAACGCCCAAAAATATCCCTTTTTACCCTCAAAAAAAACTTTTATACATCTAAAAATGTCCCTTTTTACCCCCAAAAAGTTTCCTTTTGCCCCCAAAATTCCCTTTTTATCTAAAAATTTCCTTTTTACCCTCCAAAAAATTTCCTTTTTACTCCCCAAATTTCCTTTTTTTGAGGCTTTTGGGGGTTTTTTTTTGGTTTTTTGGGGGTTTTGGGAATTTTTTTGGTTTTTTTGGAGATTTTACGGGTTATTTTTGGGTTATTTTAAGGGGTTTTTGGGGGATTTTGGAGGATTTTGGGTTTTTTGGGGTTTTTTTTGGGGGGGATTTTTTTGGATTTTTTTGGGGGTTTTTGGGTTTTTTTTGGAGTTTTTTTTGGAACAACCTGAAACCCCCAAAATCAGGAGCGGATTTTGGCCGCGATCCCAACTCACCCCCCAAAAAAACCCCAAATAATTCAAATTATTCCCCCCAGGAGCAGAAACGCGCGACTCCAACTCCTCCTCTCCTCCTCCACACAATAATTTCATTTTTTGGGTTTTTTTTGGGGGAGATTTTGGGGTTTTTTCGGTTATTTTTTGGGGGTAAAAAGGGTAAAAAAACGAAAAAAATTTTCAAAATTTCAGCTGTTTCTGCCCGGTTTCGAACCGGGGACCTTTCGCGTGTGAGGCGAACGTGATAACCACTACACTACAGAAACACCGCACGAGTTTATTATTGTATTTTTTCCAGAATACTTTTAATTTTTAATTTATTTTCCGGAATATTTTATATATTTTATTTATTTCCTGGAATATTTTTAATTTCTGCTTTTTCTCTTCAATATTTTAATTTTTTTTTTAATTTATTCTGGGAATTATTTCTATTTTTGCAAATTTTTTTTTAAATTTTAATTTTTGCTTTTTATTTCCTGGAATATTTTTTTTTTCCCTTCAGGAATATTTTATATTTTTGCAAATTTTTTGGCATATTTTAAATTTTTTTTTCTGGATTTTTTTTCCATTTTTTCTGGAATATTTTATATTTCTATACTTTTATTCAGGAATATTTTTAATTTTTGTTCTTTTTTTCTGGAATATTTTTTTATTTTTGGTTTTTTTCAGGAATATTTTATATTTTTGTACTTTTTTAATGGAATATTTTCTATTCTTGCGATTTTTAAAATGGAACATTTTTAATTTTTCCCTTTTTTCTGGAATATTTTTAATTTTTTGCTTTTTTTTCTGCAATATTATATATTTTTATTCTTTTTTTAAAAATATTTTTATATTTTTGCTTTTTTTTCAGGAATATTTTATATTTTTCCTTTGTTTTCCGGAATTATTTTTTTTTAAAATACTGGTCTATTTTATATTTTAATTTTTTTCCCTCTGGAATATTTTTAATTTTTGCAACTTTTTGTGGAATATTTTTAAATTTTGTACTTTTTTTCTACAATAGTTTATATTTTTGATTATTTTTTAAAATTCAGGAAATTTTATGGGTTTTGAAATTTTTGTTTCTAAAATATTTTTAATTTTTTTGTTTATTCTGAAATAGTTCCTTTTTTTTTGCTCATTTTTTTCTGGAATATTTTATGGTTTTGAAATTTTTTTCTGGAATATTTTTAAAAATTGAGGTTTTTTTTCTGGAATATTTTTGATTTTTGCCAATTTTTTGGGGGGAAATATTTTTAATATTTGCATTTTTCTGGACTATTTTATATTTTTTATTTATTTTTTTTAAATATTTTATATTTTTCAGCGACAAAGTAAAAATGCAGCAGTTTGTCCTAAAAATATATATTTTTTTTAATTATTGATTTTTTCTTTAAGCAGCGTCGCCGTGAAGGAATTTGGGGAAGAATTAAAAATTAAAAATTAAACCAAAATTTGCTGTTTCTGCCCGGTTTCGAACCGGGGACCTTTCGCGTGTGAGGCGAACGTGATAACCACTACACTACAGAAACGCCGTGCCACGCTGCGCTTCCCTAA